TTCTTGCTCAAATATTTTGGGTTTTGAAGAAGGCTATTAGGTTGATACCCCTATTTTTTTATCTAGTTTTGGTTTGAACAAGTTTGTACAAATCGTGTTAGGAATTTTTACGCAAGATGTGAAGATATTGGGCTTGTGGAGAAAATGTTCGATGGAATTCATGAGAGAAACTTGGTAGCATGGATTACAATGATAAGTGGGTTTGCTATGATGGGATTGGTCAATAAGACATTTGGTGTATTTTGGAAAATGTAAATGTTGGGTGTTGTTCTTGACGAGATTACCATGGTAAATGTGATTTATGCGTGTGTTGTGTCAAGGGCATTGAATATTTGTAAGTGGATTCATGTGTATAATGAGAAATAAACAACTAAGACTAATATTATGCTTAGTACTACACTAATCAACATGTATGCAAAGTGTTTTTTTTTTGTCATGCATAATATGTTTTTTTTTTTTTTTTTGTTATTGTTCACTTGAGATTTATTTTTGCCAACAACCATTATTTTTTATATATCACGGCCTTACAACAATAATGTGGGTCAAATGAGATAATTCTTCTCAAAACCTCTAGTAGCCGAAGCAACATTCTTACATCAATTTTAACTTTCTTTCTCTTCTTTCCAAGGTAAAATCAATTCTTAGGGATAAAATAAATTGTTTGCTTATTATTAAAAAAAGAAAAGAAAAATTCAAAATCAATATATTTATGAAATTGATTGTGTAAATGCAAGATTATTATAAGATATTAAAAGTGAATTACAATACTATAGAGGATGCTTGGTAATCAACTTGCTTATATTTAGTTCATTTATTTTGAAATTTGTGAAAGCTTATTTGTGTTAATATTATGATTAATGAATTTCGAAGGAGCTGTTGCAAAAGTTATTAAAACCTAGAGTCTAAAAATTTTTTGTGGTGATAGTTCACAAATGGAACCCAAGTCACCTTCCAAATTTAAGCTCTTAGTTAAAGAATTCAATCCATAGAAACGAGTCTTAAAAGTTTTTTTTTTTAGCTTTCTTATTTTGTTATCATCTATTAGTGTTTACTTAGCATTTAACTTTGTAAAGGTTGGAAATGTATTATAAAGTTCATATTATATTATTGTGGTGAATTTTGGAAACACAAGAACATAATTGAATGTACTTGAGTGGGAGAAAAAAGTTTTAATTAGTTAGGACCTGCCTTATTTGTTATATTCTTATCTAGATAATTTGACCAAAAGTCCACTTTAGAAAAACTCTTGCCACTACCATCGTATGTAGATTAAGTTTGGTTTAGACAAATTTGTTGATAATGCTTTAAGAGTGAAGGCATTTTTAGAATCATTAATTGCATGGGTAAAATAGATGGAAAAAGTAAACTTGGATCCAAAAATTTGGATAATGTGTGAAAAGGTAACTTTGTTATAAATTAATTGGATAAGCTATCTCAATATTCTTTGGTACATGTGTTTTTGGAATGAATAAGATTATTTATACTAATTTTTTTTAATAACAGATAACTGTTACACAAAGGTAGAAAAATAGTGCATTAAAAGTTGATTTAGATTTTAAGCATAATATCAAGCCTACCCCTGTAATCACAAAGAAGGTTTCTACATTACTTGAAGATTTGATTAAGATTAGGATTAGTGAGATAAGCTTTTTTCGTAACAACTGAAATTTAGAATCGTTTTTTAGTAAATTTATTAACTTATTTTAGATGTTTACTTCAAAATATTTATTATGAATTGTGAAATGTCTATTCTTTTCTCTAAATATTGTAGCATTGCCTATCTTTCTGTTTCATATAACTCTTTAACCCATTTAAGTTTGGTAAATGCTTAAAGAGTTCAATATATAACTAAATTATAGATGGCTGGATATGAAAATTTATGTAGCTAGAGTTTTTTGTTATGTTTGCAGATGAATGCATTAGTTTCCTAAAGTTTTGTGCCTATTGATATTTGTTTGCTGATATGTTTGAAATAATAGATTTTGTTTTAAGTTAATAAATAATTTTACTATAAATTAGTGATTGTTTTGCTTGGATTTTTTAACAACTTAATATATACATGCTCTAATGAATGTTAAGGACTCATGGCATTTAAACTTCTATGTTTGCCTTACATTTTTTTATTGTTTTTACTGAGTAATTGTGAGATAATTTTATGCAAATTAAAATACTCCTTTGATCCTTGGGGTTTTAATAGATCAAAAAATCATAAATTCTCTTTGACATCCTAAGACAATGTTCACTCTTTTAGTTTTTAATCTTCTAAACTTTTGATTTGTTTAAAACCCATGTTACAACTTGAACAATATAAGCCAACCAATGTTGTAGTAAAAAAACCTTTTTTTTTTTTTTTATCTTTCACTTTTCTATAAGCTTTCAACAAAGAAAGTTTGCTTTTTTTTTTCTCTCTCTCTCTTTTTCAAGAAGGCTTTTGGTTAAGATTTAGAAAAACTACACATGTAAAAATAAAAGCTTCCAAATATTTGGTAAAAAATTAAAAGGTGAAATGCCTACTTGGGTTTGATGAATTTTTGTCAATCCTTTTAAAAGTCATCAATTTTATATGCTTTCTTCATGTTTGACTTTGACTTTGCTTACAATTGAAAAACATCTTTTTTTTAGCTTATTTTTCTTCCATCCCTTATCATGTTAAACAAAATTCTTTAACTTTTATTTAAACTTTTTTAGTGGGTGTGGTAGATTCTTTCTTGGAGCCAAAAATATAAATGGTGTTGTTGTTCTTCTTTATTTTTTGAATTCTTGAATAGATTATTCATTTTTATACATAAAAAAGAGAGAAAAAAAAAGGTGAGAGAAAAAATATATAACTTTATAGGACTAAAAATATTGTAACTTTTTTGGTTAATTATGAGATCTTATCTCATCTAGGTTTTCTACAGTCTTCTTCCACCCTTTGCTATAGGTTATTGACTTATCTAAGGTTCATTTTTCCAGTTGGTTGATTCTTTGCCTTTTGTGCTTTAAAAACCTGCAATTTAGTCATTACATGTCATGATTTTTATGTCATCATGAACTGGAAAGAATCTATTTTTTTATCTCTTTCTCTTTCTTTCTTTATCTCTTTATATTCACTTGGTCTAGAGACAAATTAGATGTTTTTTACTCATTTTTAACTTAAGCATTCTGAGGTAGCACAATGTCATGTGAGTGATTTTGCTTACTACTATTTTTTCTAGTTTGACCTACTTGCATTGCATTTATGACAAATGCAACCAAATTGATTTAACCTATTTAGGCAATTGAGATATGCTGTTAATATGTATAAACCCTTATTATTATTTATCAAACATAAAATAGTTGATCTACCTAGCTTCTGGAGTTATGTTAGCACTCTTTTTTTCTATATTTTTAGGAACTGATTTTAGCTCAATAAAATGATATTGATTATCATTTTCTCCCATCATGTTACTTTTGCTGCAATTAAATAATCTTTTATATTATAATGGTGAATCTTCTGTCAAGCTATGTTCATTGATGATTATTCACTTAAAAGTGTATATTTCTTTGATTTAAGTAGAGTGGATTGTATAAATTCTTTCATTCTGGCCTATATTTTAATTTATTGCATTTAAAAAAAAATCATTTAGATTTATTGTTATTCTTATTCCATCAAATCTTTCATATTATCAATTTTACTTTCTAAAATTTGAAACATTTGCATAACACTTAGCCATTGTTATCCAGATCAATTTCAAATGTCTACAAAAGTTGAGTTTAACATTTGTATCCCATAAGTTTTGTCATTGAAATTATTGACTTTGGTTATGATGCCTTAAACATATGCCCATTCTAAAATACTAACACAATCTTTTGTTTTTGTTTAAATGCCTTGAATATTTTTTTAAATGCAAATGTTGATAGCTATATAATTAGGTTAACATTGATTTTCAATTAGAGGCTTCCTAAAGCTGTGCTACTTGAAAGAGCAAGGCTATCTTCAATTTTTGTATACCTTACTTTGTTTTTTTCGTGTAAGTTTGTATAATTATCAATTTCTCTACTACTTTTTCCCTTATGAATTCTAATGCTCAGTTAGTGAATTCAAAAATTGGCTATAATTAAAGAGCTGTCAAAAGATGAATTCACAAAAAAAGTTGGGGTACTACCTAATTGATTGTGACAAAGTAAATATTTATCTTTTCTTTTACAATCATCTGTTTGGCATGATTGAACATTGTATTTATCCTTAAATCAATTATTCTGTTTTGCTCAGATATTTATCTCTATACACAAAAATATACATTGATGCTTGGTAGTTATCAATAAGAAAAATCATAAGTTTCAATATCTTAATTCATTAAAAGGACAAGATAATAAAATGTTGAATGCATTGGTATGATTTTTAGTGACATGTTCTTTTATTTAGATATCATATTTTTTTATGCATGTAATAAATTAATTTAAAACATATTACATAGTATAAATGTAAAAGGATTTAGAGTAAGATCCTGTTAGATGCAAGACACATTTCTTAACTACTTTTTTTTTGCTATAAATCTTTTATGAGTTTGCTTTGGCTTCCAACTCACCCTTCCCACAAGCCCATTTTTCCTTCTATAAAAGAATATCAGCAAAAGAATTCACATCTTTAATGTCTTTGATATCTCATCTTCATTAATTTCAAATAACATAAATATTCAAAATATAAATAAGTACACAACCATTTTTCTCTTATACATTATTTAATATTTAAATTATTAATACATAATTTTATTTTACTTTTATAATTAAATTATTAATATATAAATTTATTTTATTCTCGTGAAAAAGCACTTGAAATCTAATAAAAATAATTTTAATAATTTTTAATTTTAAAAATATTAAACATATTATAATTTTATTATATAAATTTTAATTTAATATTTTTAATATTTTTTATTACATTTCACTTCATTACTATTAGATATATATATATATATATATATATATATATATATATATCCTTGTTGCTTATTTTACTAAATCTCATGCTATACTAATTAATCTCACTACTGCCATCGTTTCCAATATCACTGTAATTAATCTCATTGTACATTCAATGGACTCTTAATATCACCAGGCACCGACCGCCACCGCCTCCGCCTCCAAGTCATTCTTACTCCCAAATTACGATCAAGAATAATAAAATCTGGGACAGAAGAAAAGAAGAGGTAGGAATTGATCATGGTGGGGTTTAAGTTTGGAGGATTCGATTGCTGAATGATTTCGCGGCTGCAATGCACCGTCAATGGCGGCATCATCATCGTCTATGGCGACCATTAGGTCATGGGGACCGGCGTTTCTTGTCCTGAGAGACAAATGCCTAACGAGCCTCCGTTCCATCCCTCAACTTGTTCAATCCCCAAGCTTTTCACACTCTCACACTTATTTCATCTCTGACGCCCCCGACGTCTCTGCCCACGAGGTATCTGTTTCTTTTCAAACTATCATTTCTTTTTGACTCTTCCTTTCTCTTTTGATGGTAAAGCTTTCAAATTTTAATTTCAGGTAACTTCCGATCTATTATTTCTCATCAACTTGGTTGCCAATGCCTCCCAATTTCAACGAGATTTGATCCCTACCTTTTCCAACACTTGCCACTTGGTATTTCAATTTCAATTGCTCTTGCTCTGCTTTTATTTTATTTATTTGTTATATAGTTACTGATTATTACCTTGTTTACCCTAGATCCATGACGTCAGTCGTCGAGTTTCTCTCGATATGAATTCCTCATCTTGGGCTCTGTATCTCGACTTCTCCACCAAAATGACGGTTTTTTCCCTGGCCAAGGCAACCTCCAATGCTGCTTTGTTTAAACCAGTTTTAGAATGATTAGAAACTCTCAGGTTTATTCAATTTCCCATTCTTTTATTTTGCATTTTAAATTTTTCTATGCTTGCTAAAATTCATATGTTTTCTTTTATCCGCAGATGTCTTGTCAGTGAAAACCGACGGAAATGCTCTCTGTCAGATGATATTCAGTTGGTAAATTTCCCTTCGCCACTTCAATGCATGTTCGTATGTGGATTTAATCTCCTTGTATTGTTCAAGTGGCAATCAAAAGAGTGCTATTGAAATGGGAAAGAAATTATTGCGAAATGGTAGTTTATGGGAAGTTCAAACCGCTGCCTTTACTATGCTTGGTGAAGTGTATTCAAGGACTGGTTCTTCTTTTCCGGTTGATATGTGGTATCGACTATTCAGGTAAGTTCTCTACTTGGCTTTGATGGCATATGTAAATGAGTCACTAAGATCGAGTTTTCTGAATTAGGGTTTTAGGAAGATGATGGACTTATTAACATCCAAGAACTTGGTTGTTGAAGATATCGACATGTCCAGGAATGACTCTTTCTCCCATGCCTCCCTTACCCTTGAAGAGAAATTGAGAACATGAAAACAGATATTGCTCTTTCAAGTATTGATAAACAATTTTTCTTGTTGTGCACAGGTTTTATTCATCTCTTCTGCATTGCCTTCATTTGGTTCTTATGGATCCTAAAGGTTCTATTTCTGAACATGTAAGTAAATCATTACAACTAACGACCATAATATTAATTCATAATTATTAAATTGTTTTTTTTTCTGTCTTTGCTACTTCATAAATACTGTTGTTAACAATAATCATAAGCCTCTCAAAATAAAAGGTTGGATAAATTATTTTGAGCAATTTGCTCTTACATTGTTTGGGCGTGTATGCAAGTATAAAGAATGTCCAAACGTACTTCTATGGTTGTATCTTGTAAATGGTTTCCTGCTATTTGGTGTGCTTCGTACCTGAGACAAATGTTTAATATCAAATGCCTTTTTGTCATTTCTAAACAACTACAAGATTAAACCCATCAATACCTCTTTTTAAGGATAAAATATCTGGCCTATCATGAATACGTTCAGGCATAAGTCATAAATCACAGAATTGACAGCTTTTGTTGCCTTTACATATAAATATATAATTATTGTCCTGTGAAGAATACATCCTTTTCTTTTGGTTTCATCATCAATAAGACTTTGCTGCTCATATATCTTAAGCTAAATGTTGAAGGTCTTCTGGAATATTTAAATTAATTCATCCCTAGACCATTTTCATGTTTTGACATGTTTTGTTTATATAAGCAACTTGTTACCCTTTTACAATTTGTGATACCTACATCAACAACAACAAACTAAGTCTTATATCTCATAACTCTAGGGTCAGCTGTATGAAAAGCCAAAATAGGAATCATGTTAGGTCATAATTTTGAATCTTCTTGCACCACTCATTTCTATCTGAAACAACCTTTTTATCTATTTCCTTAACCCTCATATCATTTCTTATTACTTGCATCGATGTCTTTCGTGGTCTACCTCTAGAAGTTTTGGTCTTTTCCAAATCCAAAAGCTCATTTCTACTAACTGGTGCACAGATAGGCCAACATTTCACATATCCAAATCATCTCAAACAGCTCTCTCTTATCTTTTTTTCAATTTGGACCCCAAATTTTCCTCGAATCTTTTATATTTGATTTTGGCTCTTCTAGTTTTACCACATGTCCATCTAACCATCCTCATCTAAGTTATGCTTATTTTCTTCTCATTTTGTTTCTTAACGGCCCAACACTCAGTCCCATATAACAATGCAAGCCTTACAGTTGTTGTATACAACGTTGCCTTTAACTTTAAAGGCATGTTGCAATTACATAACACACTATACGGACTTTGCCACCTCACCTATCTTGCTTGAATCCTATGATTTACATCCCTTTCCATCTCAGCATCCTATGAATAATTGATCTCAATTATAAAAAATGACTACTCTTTGGTACTATCTCACCATCCAATTTAATTACACTATCACTTGCTTTCCTATGACTACTAAACTTGCAATTTGTGATACCTAATTGAGATATGTTTGAAACTATGCATGTATACATTCTTAGCAGGATTCCATTTGTTTTGGCATTCTATATTACTACGACATGATTCTTCGAACTTCAAGATCAGGATCCAAGCTGCTGCTGCCATGGCTGTGCCAGCATCAGCACTTGGTTAGCAGTTGGATTACTTACGGTTTCTGTTGTCATGGTTATGATGTGATTGTGGTTTTGTTTGCCTTGAAATTGATGATGCCTCCAATCCTTATTTATGGCCAAAATAGACTTTTTAACTGGGATTAATTGTCACAATAGTTTATATGCTTCTCTCCCATGTGAAGCTATTCTACTGTTGACTTGAAATTATCATATTGTTTGACAGTTTAAAGCTGGATTTGTGACATTGCTTACTTTTTTTGATGCAGATTATGAGAAATCTTTCCCAGACATTGTCCAAGATCTGGAGCATGTAGTGGAGAATCTATGTTCATACCAAATTTCGGTGCCATCAGGTTTCAAATATAGGATTGCACTTGAGAAGCAGGTTATTTTATGCATATGACATTCTTTTGAAATGATATAACACTTTTTTCTTTGGGTCAGAAGAATGATATAACACAGATTAGAGAATCATGCATTTTATGCAATCTAAGTAATGCTTGTTATGATGTTTTCTTATCCAGGTTGATAGATGATATGATGTTAAATTAAGTGAAATTAGGAGAAGAAATTTGCATAGCCTCAATAATTCCTGTGAATCTGAAGTTTCATGACACTTTAGAACGAATTGCTTCATTTCTTGTTATTTTCAGAGAAGTTTTTTAATGTTCCAAGCTGATTAAGACAAATCCATGTCTACTATTAATTGGATTTTCTTTTTCTCTTGCGGTTAGCTTCGACCGTGTTGCCTGTTCTTAGCCTTGCTTCAACCACTGATTTCCAATCTCTGAAAGATTTTCTTGTTAAAGGAAACCTTAACCAACCTCTCTTAGACATTCACAAATACTATGAATAATTCAATGAACCTTTTTTATGAAATCATGTCTGTTGTTTAAGTTCTCATTCTTACTATTGATGATTTCTCACTTTCAAAATAGAAAAAGGCGGCCCTTTGCATATGGTGATAAATTTCTAAGACTGAAAAACAATCGCCTAAAACTTAGCAACTTGAAGCTTTGGCCCATCAAAGTTTGATACGTATTAACTATTACGCAGTATGAGCATACCTTTGCTTACAAAATTTTGGAATGACCTAACTTACCCAAATGTACAGTGAGATAAAATTAATTATTGTAACTAAAAGATTAAAATCGATAGTAAGATAATATTTTGATAGAAATGTAATAATGATGATGACATGAAGTGTAGTAAGAAAAAAAAAACCAATAAGATCATTAGAATAAAATTTATATATAATAAAAATTTTAATATATATTTAATATTGTGAAATTAATAAATAATTTAAAATTATTAAAATTATTTTATATTGAATAATTTTTTGTTAATAAATTTAAAATTAGTAAAAATAATTTTAAATATTAAAATTATAAAAATACTTCAAATATTTAATATTTGAAAAATTATGTTTATAACAAATATAAATGTTATTTAGATAAATTAATATTAAACATAAATCTAACATATATAACAAACTAAACAAATTTAAATTTAAAAATAAAAAACAAAAAAATTTGTTGAAATGTATTAGGAAACAAAAAAAAAAAACAATAAAGGCAATATGGTCCATAAATTTCAACTGCATGCTCTGTTTGTCTAGTGCACCCTGAATATTTCAGTCTCCAACTGAAGAAATATTGAGATTAGTGGCACTGAAACATGCCATCCAAACGGTACCACGGCACAATTGAAAGACAACAAGATGTCCGATTCCACTGAAACGCAACTTCAGTAGAGATCCGAACCTACCCTAAATTGTCACCTCCACTTTTGTAGTGGTCAGTGGTAATAGTGAATTTTGACATATATATTTGAGGGCTCAATTAATAATTTATTATATATTTTTATTAGACATATATATATATATATATATGCGTTCACACATAATATGCAAATAATATATTAATAAAAAGTAATCAATTTATAAAATTATAAAATAAAAATATTAGTATTATTTTAGGATAAGAAGAGTTTTAAATCAATAGTCGAATTACTACTTATACTTTCGTTCAATAAATTACAGGAAGTTTTTATTTTTTAAAAATTTAAAATTAAAATAAAAGAATATAAATCAATCAATCATTAAACAATATACTTTTACCAAAAAAATTAATATAATTTAAAAAAAAACGAAGTTGAAACTTTGAGATTAGAAATTATGATTTTTTCTTTTTAACCTTTTATGAAGCAGTTTCAATCTTGTTATTTTTTGTTGAAAAAAAATTTTTAGATAGCATGAGATAAAGATTTATAGTAAAATTAAAATAAAAACTATATGTAGAGAGATATTGTATTAAGTTAAAAATAAAAGGAAAATACATATTTAATACTTAGTTGGAGATATGGAGTTTCGTTAAGAAAGCTAGAAAATTAATTTAATTTTTGTTAATTTTACATGATTATGATTTAAAGCTTCTTACAAATCTTTAGTTTGATTTTAAGAATTTATAAATGATGAATTATAAATACAATAAATAGAAACATAACAATGTAATTTTAATTCCTTTTAAATTGTAATAATACATAAAATTAAAATTTAAAATCACAAAAATATAAATTAATAGTATTAATTTAGAGAATCAACTTAAATTTATTTAAATATTAATATATACATGCTAAAGACTTTTAAAAACTTTGGCCCCCTCTGCTACAATGAAGAACCGCCGTTCGTCAGTGGTGTGTGCTAACTTAAGCGTTCCTTGGTCAATAGGGGATCATATCCCCAAAACTGGCTGCTTGTAGTAAAAGAATCCTAGCAATTCTTGCACATGTGGTCCCACAGGTCCATTGTAGGACCCCTATCATGGATGGCTAATATTTTTGCATTATATGCAAGCAACTGCGAAGAATGTTACTTCTTCAAAATCAAATACTAGCATTTTATTCTGCTGTGGCTCATTTTCTCGTATGCTAGAAAGCATCTTTTCTGGAGGACTGTTTTAAGATGCTATACTCATCATTAGGTGAGTCAAGTATGAGGTTGAAAGTGATTCTGTTGGCAACCAAAAGAAAGAGATGATATCCAAAGCTATACAATCATTAAATGAAGTTCATGAAGCAAGAATCAGCATAAATTTGAGAAGCTGGACATTAGCATATCCTGATGGTTTCATAGTCAGCCATTTTAATTTGCTCTACCGGCTGATCAATTTTGTTTTGTTATATCGGATAATTTTGGTTTCGAGCACCTCGGGATTCTTCTGAAGACTGGAATGGCCATTTGCTCTTAAAAAGCCAATTCATTGGAATTTGGAAACCCCCTTTCCCATCCACTGATTGAACAGAGAGAGTGGGGTAGTAACTGAACCATTCCGTGTGTACGAGGCCCCCCTGGTAGCGAATAGAGTTTGGTGCAGAATTTCCAGTCATGCACAGCTAGTCCTGCTAGAAGTCAATGCGAATTAGATGAATGGGGTCCTACCGTGTATAAATTGTGATAGTTTTGCCTGTATTCATTCACTGCTGCGTGCAGCATGCAGTTGGACTCAGATACAGTAAATAATTTAAATCCATTTGCATATGAATTACTACTCTCTACTGCCTATTTTTCTTGTATGAAAAGAATTGCAATAGCTAAATGATAATGTGCAATAAAAAATCAATCAACCATAGAACCCCAGTCACTGGATCTAGTCCTCCACAAAGAGTAAAAAAATTCTACATATTTTGACCACTTCAAAACTGGTACATAAATTATTGGAGTGTAGTCAAGGGTTCATAAATTACTGGAGTGTAGTCAAGCGTTCTCTGATCAGACTTTGTACTGTGTAAATTAGTCGAAGGCCCTGATTGAAATGCGGTGAAGTATTGTGATTGTATGTATGTGAGCCTTGTTGATTAATAAATATATCGTCGGTGAGTTAAATACAACAGATACTTAGTCCGACTGTGCGGAAAAAAATCTTGCATTGCATACTTAGGGATATATATGTTCATGATAATTTCCCGTTTTTCAATAAAAGTTCTCAGCATCGTTATTTTTTCCTTTCTTTTCTTTGGAGGTATATTAAATTTTGGGTTATATCTTATCAAGCAAGATATTTTTTTTGTCTCATAAATCTTGTCTTTTTGTTTTGAAGTTCAAAATTTTCTTCTTTAAAATTTTTTGGAGACGTTATTAAAGTTATGAATACGTCAATATTGGTCAATTAAGTGAATCTTAAACCAACGGTTTGATAATTTCAATAAATTATGGTTGGTAATGGCGAAAGGGAACAATGCTTATGAGTCATGACAAAATTTTGTTCTTTTGGATTTGGATTAGATCATCTCCCCTACATACTAAACTGGTGTTAAAACAAGGCAAGCCATTGGATGGCTTCTGCTACACCGAGTGGGGGAGTGTGCCTGAGAGATACAAAATCACGAAAATTGTGAATGGCAAACGCTTTCGGCCTTTGACAAAGACAAATTATTAGCATTGTCTAGGAGCCGGAAAACGACCGTACAGACCCATCTCTTTTGACTAAAAGCCAGAGTAGAATGCGCCCACCGCCCACTGGCTACCAACTTCCTTTGTTCTTTTCCCCTTAGCTAAGACTTTTGCAACATTTTTTGTTTTCAGCCGGGATATCAGTCAATTTGTTCTTTTCCCCTTAGCTAAGACTTTTGCAACATTTTTGGTTTTCAGCCGGATAGTAGTACTAGTAGTAATAGTATATGATAATATGATATAAAAATTACATGAAAAAATTATATATGTATTTTTAAAAAGTATATTTTTGTTATGATAATATGATATACAAATGATATGAAAAAATTATATGTATATATATATTTAAAATGTATATTTTTGTTTATTTGTGTGGATACAAATTTTAGTATAATATAATTTGTATCGTATATATATTGATATATTTAAATACATAATATTATATAAATAATATTTTAATTTAATTTTATTATACGAGTACATATTAAGCATGTTTATCATATTTAACACATTTTTATATTTATTTTAATTTAATATAAATATATAAAGATTATTTTAATTTTTAATCTTTTAATTATGATACTTAATTAGTTATTTAATAGCATATAAAAATTATATTAAATATTTAATTATGATACTCATTTAATAATTATTATAAAATTATTTTTTATATTAATAATATAAATATTAATATTAGTCTTGTACATTATTATTTTATTTTTTAATCTTTAATAGTTTATCATTTTAAATTTATATTAAAAATTAATATAGTTATGTAATATAAATTAAATTTTAAATATATATAAATATATTAAATGAGTGTTATTTTTTTAATTTTTTAATATGTAAGTTTTTTTTTTATATTTTTAGTATGTCAAATTTATTAAATTGTAAATAATTTATAGTTTATAGCTATTTATTATTTTAATCATGTTTTTGTATATATTTATGTTAATCATATATTTTCATATATATCTGTATTAATCATATTTTTTCGTGTATATTCATATTATTCATGTTTAATTGTGTCGTGTTTAAATGAATTAACTATACATATATTAATTATATTGTATCACGTATAATATATATTAAATATATTATACTTGTATTTAAATTTTAGATATATTTTATAATTTATATCATATTTATATTTTAATAATTTATATTACTATTTATGTCAAATACGATATCATGATATAAAAATACAAATTATCAAGTTTAATAATAATAAAAGTAGTAGTATTAGATTCTTCGAGTTGTTGCATGCAGATTGTTATAGAACCAGTTCTAAAGCCAAAAGGTCAAACATGGAGTATCATCCGAGTTTATGAAAAGATAAATGATCAGAGCTGAGCAATGATTATGAATTGGTTTGTTTTGGTATTTTTTATCAAATCATCAACATGACTCCTTTCTCACTTCTACTTTTAGTCTTAGTGCCCTTTATGATTTGGGTGCCCCAATATTTCATCATTACTTGCTTAAATCTTTTATCTTTACCCAAATACCAATTTGATTGGACATCACAGAGTCCATCCTCGAGGAGTTTCTTTGTCCGATATATACGGTCGACTCATCTTTACGTAGACGAGTATAATTATCACCTCAACTTGTTTTGGATGATATTTCCCTTTCTTTTTTGTATTTGTCAAAAAGTCCGGAAGAAAAGGGCCATGCTTGATTACTGATTGTCTGTGGTGGGTCTTGCTTCTTGAAAAGTTGTAACAAATCCCCTTCCCCACTTCCCCAAACTCATATTTCTTTATTATGTTAAACTTTGACGTTGGAACCTAAAAAGCAGGGAAAGAAACGAATGGAAATGAAGATGTAAAGAAATGGCGACGGATGAGAGACATATGAGGCTGGTAACTCCCCTGTGAAAGCTCAAATTCTTCTACTTCCATTTTGTCCTTGTTTATTAGACCAAATTCACGCTCTTTTAGAAGTTAGATGATCACTTGTCTCTCCTTCTGTCCTTTACTTTATTTTTGAACTTTAGAAAAAAAGAAATAAAACCACGTTAACACATGTTATCCAGTCCTCTACTTCTTTTGCAGTAGTAGTATCCTTTTTCTTTTTCAAAAAATAACAACAGTCACCAACTCCTGTAATGGCGGAGATCTTATACTTTCCTCTTTCATGGTACCCTATTATTATAGCCTTCTTTCTGCACCAATGTATACTTGCTTTTCCTTACCGACTTCAGTGGTCCTTCTCTTCTTACTTTATTTTCTTTATTTATTTATTTATGTATTTATACGTATAATATTTTGAACAAAGTTCCATTAACATTTTTTTTTTACAGATACAATCATATTTGGAGTGTCTAAAGGTCCAGAACACCTTCTTCAGGTACTTTCTTGTTTCTTTTTTGGGTACAAAAATTTCAATTTTTTTTCCCTCAAAATAAAAGAAACAAAGTCAGTTTCTTGCTACTTCCATGTATGTTTTATGCTGAATATCTCCCAAAGGCAAGGTTTCCTTTCTATTTAATTTGTTGTGAATGATGAAAAAGATAACCCTATATAAAAGGTTCTGCAAAGTTCATTTCTTCCAAGAAGTTTGCTAGTTTCTAAAAGGACTACTCTGCCCGATGGTTTCCATTTTTTTTTTTTCTTTTAGTGGATCTGATACTTTGTCCTATCTTTCCTCTGTTTGCTCCGTTTAGTCGCCTTGTTCAGTCTGGTGCATGAATTTTTTCACTGTTTGAATTTCACCATTATATCTGCAGTTTACTTAAACCACTTGATTCCTGACTTCTTTGTACGAAATACGCCTTCTTCTCTGTCAGACTGGCTTATTTTTTTCTCTATTTCAAGAAATAATTGAATATAGAATGAAGCTAAAAACATTTTTTTATTAATTTAGGGACAAATTTCTCCTTTCAGGTACTTGTAGTATCCTTCCTCATTTTCTGTAAAGGAAAGTTATGATGTCATCCTTTAAGAGAATCCGTGTGCTGGTATTTTTGTTCACTTTGTGCTATGTTTCAATTCTAATCTCTCCCCTTTTCATCTTTTGTACGATAGCTTGTCATGAGATAACAGTAGCACATCGTGATGGCCAAAGAGTGCAGTGGATCGCCAAAGCATCATCATCTAGAAGCAAAGAGGAAGCGTCTCACTTGGATTCTAGGGGTTGGTGGCCTCTGTATATTGTTTTATGTGTTGGGGGCTTGGCTGAGTAGTTCTACTCCCACTTCTCAATCCGATGTATACACCAAAGTTGTTTGTGATAATAATGCCAATACACCAGACAATGGCAATGCTGCAGTTAATCCATCATCAACCAACTTGGACTTTGCAAGCCATCATCAAGTTGAGCTTGGCAGTTCTAAAACAATCAGTCAATTCCCACCATGTGATATGTCATTCAGCGAGTACACTCCCTGCCAAGATAAAGTGAGGGGAAGGAAATTTGATCGTAACATGTTGAAATATAGGGAGCGGCATTGTCCCACGAAGGAAGAACTCCTCCTCTGTCTTATACCTGCTCCACCAAAATATAAGACCCCTTTCAAATGGCCTCAGAGCCGAGATTATGCCTGGTATGACAATATCCCTCATAGAGAACTCAGCATTGAGAAGGCAATTCAGAATTGGATTCAGGTAGAGGGTGATCGTTTCAGATTCCCTGGGGGAGGCACCATGTTCCCTCGGGGAGCAGATGCATATATTGATGACATTGGCCAGCTCATTCCCCTTACTGATGGAACTATCAGAACAGCAATTGATACTGGCTGTGGGGTAAGTAATGAACATCCTTTGCAATTTATTTGCTTGCATCTTTTCCCATCCTTCAGAATTTGTTGCTATCTAATTTGACTTATGAATTTTTTAAAATCATGAATTCTTTTTGACTCGTGTGCTATTACAATTACCATATCTACTTTTGGTCTATGTTAATCACCGTTACTCCAATTGTCTACTAATTGCCTTTGCTAATTCTTTTCTTCTTTTCTCTGGTGTTAGGTTGCAAGTTTCGGTGCTTACCTCTTGAAGAGGAATGTCTTGACAATGTCTTTTGCTCCAAGAGATACACACGAAGCACAGGTCCAGTTTGCGCTGGAACGTGGAGTTCCTGCAATGATTGGAATCATGGGTTCACAGAGGCTTCCGTACCCAGCAAGGGCTTTTGACTTGGCTCATTGTTCTCGCTGTTTGATCCCTTGGCAAAAGTATGGTAAGGCATCTCTCTATCTTTTTTCAAAAATAAAATTACTCTGTAGGGAAGGTGGAAATGACTCTTTCACTACTTTTTATCACAGTTCTTAATATTGTACAATACTATGTTTCTTATTGTATGATTGACTCACTGAAAAATTGATTTGTATCTATATGGAGAATCGGTGGCATATATGTTGATACCCAAGTAAATCAATGTGCATCATACGATACATACTATCACTTCAATATGCTTATGGTGAGTTTGGGCTAGGTCCAATTACCTAAAATTGCAATTTTAATTGTTTTTTGACCAAAAACAAAACTTATAAAAATTTTAGACTTTAGTTACTAAACTAACAAGAAAAATACAAGAAAGTTTTTATTTAAAAATGTTTACTATTAATGAGCATGTTAGGAGTTTGAAAAACAATCATATTTTCTATTTATGCCATACAATCACTCTATCTTAGTAAAATATATATATATAATATTTTATTTATTTATTTATGTTTATTTTACATTTATATATGTTATTTATAATTAATTTTAAAAATTTTACTTTATCTTACAGGATACTTAATACACGATTATCAAAAATAAGATTTTGATTCATGATACATATATCGATTTAACAACTATGCCTTCTATGTTACACAGCTAACCATCATGACCCTTGTACTAACCTCTATTTCATTCTCCTATAGGTTGAAAAATTGTTTATTAGCTAATGGTTTCATTTAATTGGTATAGATGGTTTGTATCTCACCGAAGTGGATCGGATTCTAAGGCCTGGTGGTTATTGGGTTCTCTCTGGTCCTCCTATTCACTGGAAGAAACACTGGAGAGGCTGGGAAAGGACACAGGAGGATTTAAAACAAGAGCAAGATGCTATTGAAGATGTTGCCAACCACCTATGCTGGAAGAAAGTGATTGAACAGAATGATCTATCAGTTTGGCAAAAGCCCATCAACCACATTGCATGTTTTAAAAGTAAGGTCTTTAAAACACCACAGATATGCAAGTCAGAGGATCCAGACACAGCTTGGTACTCTCTTTAGTCTTTCATGCTCTTATTTCCTCCTTTGACTCACATACACATAAAGACCTTTGTGGTCTCATTTTCCATTTGCCATTTGTGCTAAAAAGGTACAAAATTTTGGAAGCTTGCATAACCCCACTTCCAGAAGTAAGCAGCTCAGATGATGTTGCTGGTGGTGCTATAGAAAAATGGCCAGAGCGTGCATTTGCTGTTCCTCCTAGAATCAGCAATGGCTCAATACGAGGCATCACTGCTGAGAAATTTAAGGAGGATAATGAATTGTGGAAGGAAAGAGTGGCACATTACAAACGAATTATTAGTCCCCTACCTACTGGACGATATCGCAATATTATGGACATGAATGCTTACCTTGGAGGATTTGCAGCAGCGGTGTTAAAGTATCCAGTTTGGGTTATGAATGTGGTCCCTGCAAATTCAGATGATAACACTTTGGGAGTTATTTATGAACGAGGTTTAATTGGTACGTACCAGGACTGGTGTGAGGCATTCTCAACATATCCAAGAACATACGATCTCATCCATGCTAGTGGCTTGTTTAGTATATATCAGGACAGGTAATATTTCAGAGGATGGTATTCTCAGTCATGAACTATCTTTGATCTCATAATTTATAGTTGTGATTGAACTTTAATATGTTTTTTGAAGGTGTGACATCACTTACATCTTGCTGGAGATGGATAGGATTCTGAGGCCAGAAGGGACAGTTATATTTAGGGACACAGTGGAGCTGCTTGTGAAGATTAAGAGTATAACAGATGGAATGAGATGGAAGAGTCAGATCGTGGACCATGAAAGCGGACCCTTCAATCCTGAGAAAATTCTTGTTGCTGTCAAAACATACTGGACGGGTGAAGCAACCCAAAAGTAACGCTAGTAAAGATTTATAGCGTATCCTTTTCTCTTTGCACTTTCTGTCTCATTTTTAATCTTGGGAAATAGTCAAAGTCATTGAGATTTCACCTTAGATCATTTTTCCTTTTCGAAGAGGAAGGTTATGTTTAATTAAAATGATTCTGTATTTTATTGATGCACTATAAAAGTAAGCATTTTACGCGTCTCTCTGTTACTGTCATTGTCTTGATGGTAGTAGGATTAGCGAAATAGAAATGCTCACTGTCTGCATTAACTGAAGAGCAAGCTCTCGCCTCCACAGTCGTTGAATTAATGATCATATTTATGTATATATTGCAAGAGGATATGTTATGTCACCCTAGGAATAGAAGATACACGTCTTCTTCAAAAGCAGGCCTACAAATGGGGTGCTTTTGAATTTTCTTTGCAGCACATTATTTGGATCATCAGGGGCTACTGGTGGTTGAACTTGGATGTTAGTTACACTTTCCAGTTTCCATGGTGCACTGTTGGAAATGTGATTGTTTTTGTTGCTGATGAATTCTTTTTTTTCTTTCTATCGTTTCTTTTTTGTTGGGCTATTGATTATTGAATAGTCATGTAGCTTTCTAATTGCAGCCGAGTAGAGAATTGCACGTCTCTCACAAGTCAAAACAAGCCAACAATGTTGGTCTACCATTTTTCATACCTTTTTACAATTACATGTGCCAATATCATAGCCTAGCCTACGAAAGGAAATTAAGAATATAACTTTGATAAGTGTCCAACAAAATAATAATTGCCTGATTGGCGGACGAGGTAGGAATCCTTGGTTCGCGTGAGCGACCTTGTATTGAATTTGAGATTGGGGTTTGTTGACAATGAGAAGAGTGAGGCCATGGTTTTTTTTTTTTTTGTCAGATACCTGGGCTTTGGATCGTTGGATTATATTCAAGTTTCTTGGGTCTGAAGGTGTTTTGTAAAGTTGCCAACCGCAAGAGACCTGGGCAAACTCCTAAAAGATGGCTATGGATCATCATCGTCCATGATTAGGGGCTAGCAAGGTTCCCAGGAGTTGGATAGGTCCAGTGTTGTACTTCGGTACAGGTCCGTTATCGCCCTGTAGAATTATGGAAAAAGCTGATCTAATGGTTAAGCAATGTTGCTTGTGGGTTGTGGGCAAGCAGTGAAATGAAAGCTTTGGTTGTTTGATAGTTGCTGTGGAAACCAAACCGGGGAGTGGGGTTACTGCTTTAATGAAAAATTCACAGTTATTACCATTTCCCTTTATCATCAGGAATGAAAGGTAAAAAGAAAAGAATATTTTTTCTTAATATAGTAGATTAAACCAAAGTGGAATGGAATGTAAGAGCGTGTAGGAGTTAGGTCCCCTAACACCCACGCAAGAATCCCGTCTGCCTGCCCTCGTGTGGTTAAGAAGTTGAATTAATTGGGCAGACCGTTTGGTGGGGATTGAGGCTATTACCTGTGTTGTCTACTGTATAAAAGCTAAGGTTGCTGCCATTGGCCCATCGGCTATTACTGTTTTTTGGCTTGCAATGTTTTTTTTGCCTTCGGCTTGTTTCTGCTAAAACCCAAACCTCAAAAAAAAAGAGTTGCAAATTAGTGCCGAAGAGAGAGAAAGAAGGGCACAGAAAAATGTGGTAATCATATACCCAAACAACATTCCTTTTAATTTCTTAATCTGTCCCTGATTTCTTTTATTTTTTATACTTTATCTAATTAAAAGAAATATTAGGTGAGTGAATTCATTCAACAAGTAGTGTTCAAATAACATTTATTTGTATATATTCCAGGCCGATGCCTATATTTTCTTTTGTTGATAAATACTACTAATTATTACTTTTAAAAAATAATAAAACATAGAATATTAATGTATTTCGTTCATATATATATATATATGTAAATTATTCTCATTAATTTTTTTACGATATATTGATATAATAAAAAATAATATAAAAATAATATAATTTAAAATTGATAAAAATTATATATAAATTTGATAAAAATAAAAATTATATTTTATATTTGATTTATGATACAAATTATAATGTATTAATTTTTGTATTTTATATATATTTCATATGAAATAAATAAAATATAAATACACAAATTTTGACTATATATAAGTACATAAGATAAGACTATTTACTTTTTTGTTCGGAGGGGATATAAATAGAGTTAATAAATAAAAAGAATGATTTGTGTTGAGTGGGAGTGCGAGCAATGAGTAAAAAGGGAAAGCATTAGAGTTAAATCGATACAATTATACAAAAATTGTTCCCAGTTACATTTTGGGTTAATAGCTCATTAGTGTAATAAAAAATGATTGGGCTAGTTATTTCAGAATGAAAGTTGATTTTAAGCTTGGGAATCTATTTCTTTTTCCTCCCTTTTTTTTTTTTTTTAACACTTTCAATGTTTCTTTCTCTATTTCTCTCTCTTTAGCTCCTGCAGGTATAATTCTTCTTTTTTTCTCATGTTTCTTCATTTTTTTGGGTTTATTTGTTATTTTCTTCTCATGTCTCTATTTTTCATTTTTTGAGTTTTTTTTTTCGTTGATGGTGAATTCAAGACTATTGAACCGATAATTTAAGGTTTTTTTTAGTTTATTTTTTAAAATTTTTCATGCATTGTTTAGATTTTTTTTTTGTGATTTGTGGGTTTCATTTTTGTGTTTTGATTTTTTTTTGTGCAGGTTGATTTTTTCTATTAAGTAATGTTTTTTTTTATTAGTAATCAAATGTGATTTTTTGTTAGAAAATCGATTTTTCTTTTATTTTCGTGTTTTTTTCCTTCATTTTTATAAGGTTTTTTTTTTATGGATGAAGAAATTTTAGATGTTGTTACTGTTATAATTTGAGTTGTTTTAACATTATTTTTTGTGTGCATATGTGTTGTTCATTTTATTGTTTCATTTTTTCATTCATTATACAAATTGTTATTTTTGTGGTTTATAGCTTTTAGTTTTGTGTTTAGATTGATTTTTTTCATGCATTGAGTTTTTTATTTTTTTTGGTTTTGCTTTTTTGTTTTGGATGAGTAATTAAATTAAGTATTGGTAAATGCCAAATGAAGCTCTTGTTAAAAAGTTTAACTTGAAGCATATATGGAAAGGTCCTAATAAGGGACAATCGGACAAGAAAGTAGTATCTATTGTCATAATATTGGTTTGCGTCTTCAGTGTTGTGTATTTGCAACCTATGAAGTTCTTTTTTGCCTAATGAGTTTCAATTTTCTATAATGAAAGAAAGGTTATTAATCATACCTCTGCAATTAGTGTGGGCTAGGTGCAATAATGATATTAATGTGATCTATCAATATTTCTACTATTATGTTTGACTTCCTTTTTCATTTGAAGAGAGACTTTAGCTAACACGTAGTATCAATTAGTGATGATCTATAATTTTTAGATTATAAGGAGTGTCAGTTAGCGGTTTGCTGGAACCAGCCAAATAGAAGAAAACATTCATTATGCTTATTGTTCCCTCATTGAGAAAGTAGAACACTATGTTTATATAGAGGTATATATTGATTTTTTAAAATCTTTTATTGCATTTCACTTTGAATCTATTAATTACATGGCTTATACTCCTTACTATTATTTCATTCTTCCACAACTCTTCCTAGAACCAATTTTTCGTGTCAAGCCTCTTAAGAGATGAAATTATTTGGAATTGCATGTAAAAGCATTATATCGACGTATTATGCAAACATACAATGATAAGAAATGTTTTAAGGTTATTATTGCCATACCTCTGTTTCCTAGTTTTCAGGTTTTCATTTTGACCGATACTCTTTTAATTTGAGTTTAGACAATAGCATTATGTTTGAACTCATTTTTAAGTTTAACAAGGGGCACGATGATGTTGGTGTTGCACATATGAAAGCCATAATGCATTAGCAGTATTGAACCATTTGTCGAAGACATAATTCAATATTGCATAATCTTTGTGATGTTTTTGGTTCTAAAACTCATGATTACATATCTTTATATAGTATGAAAATCTTTTTTATGGCGGTTCTATGGCTACTAGTCTAGTATGTTCTTGCACTAACATTTATCCTCTATCATTTGTCGATTCTTTTTTATTATCTTTGTAGGCATAAAATGTCTTAGCAACTTAACAATGAAAGTTTAGAATGTAGCATACCTATATTTGGTATATAAAAGCTGTCCCTAAATTCTTTCATGCTGGAATTTAGTGGATAGCTATTCAAAGTCTTAAAAACAAATTTGGGGGTAAATTTGGAAAGAATTGGTAGGCTAAAACATAGTTGAGAAAACTATTGCAATTAAGAGCCACTTGTCAATCATGCATGCAATTTGCTTACTTTTTCAAGCCATCTATCTTAAATAATTGTTTACTTTCTCTTGACATTTAAAGAAAGAAAAAGGTCTTCATTTGAATAAAAAAGATAGACTATTTTTTTCCTCTGATATTCTGAGTTTTACATTTTGTATTCAACTGAAGTTGATTTTTTTGTCAATGTTTTTAGTTGTTAGTTCGGTCTATTTACTTTTTTCAAAAAAAATAGTAGGAAGACATGGAACAGCTAACTATCTTCACCCCATTTGAGATTACAAGTTCAAAATTTACTAATTTCAGCAATGTTCTAGACAAAACCATTTTTCTTGTCATTACAAGTACTTGTTACAGTTCTAATTCAAGGAATGTCTACTGCTAAAAGGAATGTGAGGGAAGATAAGTGCATTGGCTCTAGCAAAAGTGAACCAAACTTGGTGATGGAGTTGCCTTCAAGCTACCAAGATAAAAATCGTATGTTTTTAAAACTCTTAATTTAAAGTTCTGTCTTTGATTATGGCTTTCATATTTAGCCATTTTTTCTTCTTGAAATTTTAAGGTTTCAATAATATATTGTTTGCTTCTAACCTCAACAATTTTGTCATTAGTCTATAAATTAGGTTATGACTAAAATCTTTATATTGAAATATTTTTAATAAAGAATTATGCTTGATAGCAACTAGGGTTTTTCTTGAGACTTAATAGGAACTACTGAAAGAGTGAGATAGAAATAACAATGAGGAAGACCTTTTAAAAATTCTAAAGATAACTTTTGTGCTTTTTTTTTTCCATTAACTTTTGTATTTTTGGTTGCATAAAAAAAGTGTCATGTTTAGCTGCAATAAGCTCCCTTTAAAGGAATATAGGAAAATGTAAAAAAGTTTCATTGGTATTTTAATATGACTCATTAATCGAATCTTTTAAATTTAAAATTTATTGATGTTTTATTGTTAATGATAATTTCAAACACACTTATGAGGCATAATTTTTCAAATCTTTGATATGAAAAACTAAAAAACTTAGAATATTTTGCAATATAATAAAAGACTTGGGCTGGGGCTCATAGGGGAAAAGAAGACATAAGAAAGCTAAGATTATGGCACGTAGGAAAGTAACAGTGAAAAACCTAAATGAAATATATAAGGCCAAGGAAAAAGTTGCATGTAGGTCGGTGTTGCCTAGAAATTCCATTAGAACCTAAAGAATTTACCTTCTAAGAGAATATCTATGTCACACACACACACTGGAACTATGCTAACTAAAGAATTGTACTTTTATAAGTAATTCTTATGGTTTTAAAGTTAACTATATTTCTATTACATTTTAAGGTTGGTAAGGTATAGTGGTAGGGAGGCAATTTTATGATTATTCTTATCTCTCTTTAGATTGTTATACCTTTTGGGATTGCATATTTGGCCTTAAGGAATATTACTATATAGCACTGCCAATGGTATTGTTATTCAGCTAAGATTCTAGACGTTCTAATTGATAGAGGAGGAAGAGCAAAAAAAAAATGGTTAATTTAACTTCAGTTTCTGCTATATGCTCATTAAGTAAATGGAATATATCTAACTAGGTCTAGTTTTAGGGTTATGATTTAAAATTTGGTTCGCTTATCTTGGCAAATGGCTAATTTACGGGTGTGTTGTCATATTACATGTATTCTTGATTTGTTTGGTTTTTAATTCAGTCTAGCTTGAGCACACTTTTATGCATTTTTAACTTAGAACGTTTAACTATTCATGTTAAACTTTATTCTTTTGTTTCAGATGATGCATAAGTGCAAAATCACATAGAGATATATATCCTTTAGAAAGCCAAAAAAAAAGTATATCTATTAATATT